ACAAGTCACCATCGAGGTACTGGAAGCTGAATATTTAGAGAAAACTTCGATGAAAGGAAAATTATAAAAATGTACTACCAGTTACAGTAGGACATTTTCAGATTTCAGCTTTTCGTAGCCCACATTTCACTGTTTTGACTCAGTTTTTCTTGGATGACCAAGTTATGAGTTCAAGTTATATATATATGGATGGTACAAGACACGATTGAGGCACTAAAAGTTAGATTACCCCAAAGAAAGCTTTAATAAACGGGAATCATCAGAATAGAAGGAGACATTTGGAAGATTATTTAATAAAAGCTTCTCTGCAGTTTCCTTGACCCAAATTCCACAGTTTGGACTGAATCTTTGACATAAGTCGCCATCGAGGTACTGAAAGCTGAATTGTACTTTGAATTGCTCGCAATCCAGTTCATATCCAGTTTTTTCATTACAGGTCATATCACTGCAATCAACAAAAATATGACACAACGTGTAAATAACTTTGGAATTCTAACAGTGAGGAATATAAATTGATTTGGAAATACAATACTACTCCATACACGAAGAAAGTAATCTAACAATAAAGTTAAAGAAAGTGAAACCAAAAGATTAAAGACATCTACTCAGAAAACCTTTCAGAGAAATAATCGGATTTCGTTTGAGCGCTCGATTATCAATATGCGCGGCGCGATAATTTTAATTTAGTTGTTAATGAACAGTGATTAATGTGGGGTATAAGTTTGATCTCTAAAAAACATTTAAATTAATAGAAATAACTTTAATATTTGTATACATATTATATATTTTAAAATTTGAAGTTAAATAAATGTCAATTAGACATTTAAAAATACATTATTGATTTACCTAACCATGTGCTTTCGCGCCACTGCGGGCGCGCTTGTTTCGCAAGTGAGGCGGGCGCGCGCTACTGCAAGCGCAAGGGCTCTGAATAGAGCAACATTATTGATTATGTGCAAAAAATAACTGAATTCAATATAATAATAATGCAATTCTTTTGCTTTTTTGTTCGATCGGCGTTGACACACGCTGTAACCTTATTTGATCGCGGCCGGCCGGCCGGTGTGCACGATCTGTGTGCACGAAAGGTATACAAGTGTTATAGCTTGATTCACGATGTCAATCCTTCGCATCTCGCTGCACTGATCTGCGAGAAGCATTATTGGATGCGCGGCGCGGCCCAGTAGTGCGTCGCGCTACAAAAGTGTAGCAAGATTGGTGAAATAAAACGCAACACTGGCCCTGCCGAGCTGCAAAGGATTGACATCGTTCGCGTCAATTAAAATGAACAACCCTATGTCATGGGGATGATTTGGAATCAGCATCCGAAAATAAATAGATTTTAATTGGTTTCAATTGTCATGTCAAGGCCGGCCCTTCCAGAAAAATTTCGAAGATCGAGCGTAAAATGATTTAGCACGTTCGTACTTAAATGTAAACAAAGAATATTAAATATTTTATTTTGCTTCAGTAACATAATAGCCCGGGGTCGACAATTAAACTAATATGTAGTGGGTGTATTTTGTGATTTGATTTGTTTGTTATATTTTTGATTTATTGCTGATGATAATAAACATGTTTTTATATTGTAAAGTCCAGAAGTGAACATTTTCGCTGGGCGGCGCGCATTCCGATAAAATCTGGCAAAATCTAGCGCTATGGTGAAATTTCGCGTCTTGATTAGTTGAAATATCCCGGATGAAAAGTGATAGTGTAGTTAAAATAGGTTAAAATAGGTACAACAGTGATTTCTCTCCGTGGAGACAGAGGTGCGGGAAAAAACATTGTTGATATAAACAGTCTAGATCTTAACTTGGAGCCACAATACAAGGCCAAGGGTAATTTTTGATTGTTTAGGAAACTTTTTTAATTCTTAAAGGGTAGATTTTATATAGGGTCACTACTATATTATGTGTATATTGTTTGAATAATTTTATAATATAAAATAGGTTTTGTTTTATTAATATTTATTTTGTTAATTAATAGCAGATTTAAATATAATTTACAGTCAGTGCATTGATTGTCATTTGGCTACTTTTACTCTAAAAGTTCTTTATAAAAATGTTCCTCAGTTTTTACTCAGATTTTTACTTTTATATAGGGTTACTGTGATATCATCTATATTAAAGTCACTATTGTGACGGTACATTAGAACTAAACAGAAATAAAGTGTAAAGGGCCTGAACGGAACCCCTCGGTTTCAGTTCCTTGTTTAACACTGCCGTACAGCAAGGACATCCACCGGGTTCTCCAAGGATGGGCACATAGCTCACTCCACACTATGCTCTGTCAAATGTTGCTTATATACCAAGGATCTACAGGAAATATTTCCTTGTAAGTTTAGAGGGCGATCTGTGGACAGACAAATACCTCATTCCCAACTATAGGAACTAGAATTCCTATAATATCTCAACGAGCTACACCAAGCATAGTTTTAGATGAGATATATTGTTTCACATATTACGTAATCAGCCGAGGGGGGACAGGGGTTTCCACATGATTACACTATTGTGATTTTGACACAATAGCTGTGTGTAAAACAGATTACGGAGGGTGGGGGGGTAAAAATTATTCAAAAAGTGGTTACGTACACAATAGTTGTGAGTACACAATAGTTGTAATTCTGAAATAATTTAAGTTACACATTTCTTATTATTTACAAATGTGTAGGGATAATTTAGAAATGTTATATAATGCTAGTTTTAAAAAAATAAATAAATCGAGTTTGTATGGTTTAATTTTATTTTAAGGTCCTATATTGTTCGTTCATACAGAGAATTGAACGGATTGCTCTTGCTGTGGCAGTAAGTGTGGTAGGATCTAGAGTTTTGTTGGAGAGCAGACGGGCTAGGTCAGTAATGTTTTGGGGATGGAAATTAAATTTTTCCCTAACTGCGGAATAGAGCAAACAGTCAATTAATAATAATAATAATAATAAATTAATGTTATTTTTATACAGCACCAAAAGGTTAAATAATTTAAATTTAACCCTTATGCTCAGCTGTAAATGATACTTAAGTTAACGAGAGTGTGCATCTTTGCCTTAATACGTGACTTTCGTCCTCAATAGGCTTCAGCCCTTTGATGAAAAAGCAGTAGGTGCACCAACGTTCTTCTCTTGGTACAAGGGGGCTTTCGTATCTGCCCCTTTCGATGTAGAGGTTGTGGCAGCTGATACGAAACCTTGTCAGACTTTTTCGAACATCAGGTATTTTGACAATTTGTAGATATGCCTCTGGTTCGAAATCATGTTTAATTAAGTTATAGAATTATAGTTTTGGCGAGGAGGCCTTGGCAGATTTCCAGGTATTCACGAATTCTTCCCTCATGTTATGACTGATTTGGGTGGAGAGCTTAGATTTTGAGGAAGATGAGAGGGTGAAGTTGTATTTGGTGAGAAGCTTTGAGATGTTGGTATACCAAGGAAGGCCCAGCATGATCTGTTCGTGAAATACAGCACAGAGTAGTTCGTTTTCAGTGTTTTCAAGGCGACTATAGTAATCTATTGCAAGTTTGCAGGCTTCAAAGAATAGGGGGTGGCGCCCGCTTTCGCCCCAGCAACCTATATTTGATGCTTTTGAATGGACGGACAAAGACCACTTGATAAACTTTAGGTGGAATTTTTCATAGTGGTCTTGTGCAATGTACTTCAAGGTATGCTGGGGGTTGGCTTTGTCATCTATTTTTGAAAGGTATCTCATGGTTTTTGAGTGGGGGCATAAGACTTCAAGACAGCCATAAAGCAGGATTGGTTTTATTAAGGAGTCAATTAGAATATTAAGGGCACGGTGAGAGAGGGCATCCTTAACTATATTGCCTTTGAGACCATAGAGAGCACGGAGAGCCTTGGCCCTTAGCTCAGTATTTGCTGCTGTAAACGATCCATTTCTGTGGAATATTATGCCAAGATAGCAGTGTATGACCCCTTTTTAATGTTGCTGTAACACAAGATGGCAGATCACAACAGACCATGTGATCAGTGGTTCGAGTAACACCCCTTGATGGATACTTACTCTGGTTACTCTGGTTTCAGTCCTTATGTTTTGTTTTCTTCGAGGAGCCTCAATTCATTTTGTTGAACTTCCCATATAGTACACTGAATAGACCTGTAGCTGTCTCCTTCCTCGTATTTTGCTGTTGCCCTTTACATGCAGATATGTGAAAGGATTCATGGGATGTATTATAACAAGTAATGTTAGGGGTATAAAGTGCAGTTCTGCGATGTGAGAATTAGTGTGGAAATAAAAGAGATTCATTTTATTACATCATATATCTTAATTAAGTGACAGTAAGTATTATTATTTTAAATATAGATTATATTATTTCAGTTAGTATTGACATGAATGTTACGATTTCAGTTTATTTATATATTATATTGTCAATAAACCGGTTGCAAAGCCCTTAAGGGTGGCCCTCGGGTCTTTAAAACAAAACAAAGTGGCCTTTGGCAAAGAACTAACTGCTCTAAATTAAATCTTTTCAGCTCAGGCAACTTAATATATATTTCATTCATTGAGGTTATGAGGAAGCAACAAGGTTAGGATACAAGGATACAAGGATACAAGGATACAAAAGTGATAATTACTTTATTGAGTACACAATAGTTGTAATTCTGAAATAATTTAAGTTACACAATTCTAATTATTTACAAATTATTTATATAAATGTGTAGGGATAATTTAGAAATGTTATATAATGCTAGTTTTAGAAAAATAAATAAATCGAGTTAGTATGGTTCTATTTCAATTTAAGGTCCTATAGCATTATGCACTTGCCAGTATTTGAGTGGAAATTTGGGCTCTTATAATAGGCTGTATATTGTTCTTTCACAGAGAGAATTGAATGGATTGCTCTTGCTGTGGCAGTGAGTGTGGTAGGATCTAGAGTTTTGTTGGAGAGCAACAACAATGAGGCAATAAGGCAACAACAATTAACTACTATTTAAATCAGTTTCCTGTGTAAAGTGCAATATTTTCTAATTTCAACATCCCATTAGGAAGGATGAGTTCTTTTTGGGGAAGTAGAACATTCGTCAAATACTCTCTCTTTGCTTTCAATATATTGTTCTGGGTAAGATTAATCTAAATGTTATATTGTGTTTAACTTAGAGATTTCATACATATCATTCATCTGCTTGAAAAATGCAAAAAATCCTTCAGATTTGATGATAAAATTTTCAAATCTATATCAACTATTTCAGCTACTTGGCTCAGTGCTTCTTGTCATCGCAATATGGAGCAAGACAGAGAAAGGCAATTTGATGGACTTCAATTCCATGGCTGTAGACCCAGCCACTATATTGCTTATTGTTGGAGCAGTTATGTTCTGGATTGGGTTCTTTGGTTGGGTGGGAGCTCTACGTGAAAATGTAAAGTTCCTCCAAGTGGTAAGTTTCTGTTCTTAATTGGTGGTCAATTCTTTTCATAGTCAAAACATTATTCCTCTACACTCTTCAGTCTACACGTTCCAATACTATCCGTGTTAGCTGAGCAGTTTAAAAATGTAGGCTATACGAATATCATGACCATCGATTTACACTCCACATGACTAAATCATTGCATTATCGTTATAAGTGTGACCCATAACTAACTTCAGTTTGCCACGAGTTTAGTTATCCTGTTTCTTGGGGAAGCAGCTGTTGGGATCCTTGCGTTTGTCATGAAAGAAAAGGTAGGAATGGGGAAGGTTTTTTAAACGCTTTATATTGTATCTGAGATCTGAGTGACCTAAGATAATTACATCTGATATTTACTAATATATAGTTACATTATTACTTTTGTTTTTGTTTTCTGTTGTGCAACTCGACGTCATTGAGGTTACTTAGGTCGGTTATAAAGTCAGTTATTACAACTATAAGTTCCTATAACAATATGACTTGCCTCGTTCTGGATTCAACACCCCTCAACTATACCAATAGATCCATGTTGCACTGTTCATATCATCATGACAGCTCGGTTCAGCTTGTTATGTTCAATTTATAATCGTACATTAAAGTTTTATTGAACGTGTCTATAGTATAGTCTACTGGAATGATTCTTCGGAATTTCGCTGGATTGTACAACTTTCGTCTTGGTAGATTCCAAACACAAGGAAATTTTCCTTCTGGTTGGAAATTTACTCAATGATGGGAGTATAGTGTATTGTCTATGCCCCGCATACTAGTTTAACTCTTTCTAGTCCCCTGCTACACGGCATGTAAACAGGGATTGGCTAGTTAGAGGCGGTCCGTGTAGGCCTTACACTGTGCTTTCAGCAATACTCATAGATTAATCTATCGAAAAATTAATTATGTAAACTGCTCCATGTAAGCTCGGACTGCATCGAACATATCTTTTTTTTTCGACAAATTGGGGCAAAAAATTTTTAAGAAAAACAAAATGGGAATTGTAGGGATGTCAAATTGCCAAAAAGGAAATTTTATTTAGGGCCTTTTAGGGGGGAGGGGAAGGTTTTTGTTTTATCCGAAAAAAAGAAATAATGGGGACATTTGGGGGTATTAAAAGGGGGGGGGTTCGTCCCTTCTTTAAACACTAAATGTTAAAGCCAAAAGGTTTTGAATAATCGTTTTCCCTTTTTGTTATGTTTTCTGATAAGGTTTTTTTAAAAAACCTTGCCCCCGGTATTTATACAACACCCTATTTTGGGCACACCCCCTTTAAACCCCCCTTTGGTCATTCCCCCCCAAGCGGTTATTTAAAAAGTGCGGTTAAAGTATTTAAAACCGTGATATAATATTTTACCAATCCAATTTCTCTTTTAAACCCCAAACGTTTAAATTCCCCTACTCATTGTTAAAAAATGTTTAAACCCTTTTAAAAAATCAAATGTGTAATAAAGGGGAAATAAAGTAAAATCCCCTATTAAATGGGACTGAGAAAACAAAATGAGCTGGGGGTAATTTTAAGAAAAAATATTTACAATACAACTAAATTTTTTGGCATGATTTTTGTTTTTCGGCATATAATCTGATTAAATTATCCACCCCCACTTTTTTTTTAAAAAATTTTAAAAACCGGTTTTTTTAGTTTAAAAGACCGGAGTTTGAAGTTTGGGTGAAGTGCCGTATCATGTAGCCCCAGCCCACTGGGATGTTTTACATTTAACAAAATGTATTTGACGTGAAAAAAGCCTGAAAATGAAATGTTTTCCACATGATTAAATCTGGGTTTTTTTAATTTATATGTATACCAATGGGGTTAAATTTTTGGGGGTTTTATTTTGAAAAAAATATGGGACATATTTAAGTTACACTATGTTACCCCGAAAAACAATTTTTAAATTTTCCCCCATTGGGGGGGGAAAAAATCATTACCGTTTTAACCCCGATCTTTAATCGACTTTTTGGGTTTAAAAACCGTTTAAAATTTAACGAAAAAATTTCATTTTAAAGGGGTTGTGAAATTTAGACCCTCAAATTTAAAAAACCCTTGCTTTTGACCCTCAATAACCCCAATTTTTACTGCCTCCCTACATTTGTGGTAAATATTGGAAAAAATAAATTCCCCAAAAGGGTCGATGTGTTTTTTAAGAAAGCTTAAACCATAATTATTTATAAACAAAAAAAATCTATAAATTAATAAACTTAACACCAAAACAAATTTCCAAACACAAACTCTTTAATGAAATCATCAAAACATACTGTTAAAAGACACCCACCCATGGGCCCCCTAATGTTGAATTTCGTTTAAAAAGCTTTCCGGGCCATCACATTGTGTTTACCCCCACGGAAAGGGGGGTTTCTCTGCATTCATCCGCCCAAAAAACCCTTTTTACACGTCAAAGTCCCAAAAATGATAACTGATTAGATAACCTTACCCGGAAAAACCCCAAAATATCCAAAATCTGTCCCCTTTAGGTTCCCAGGGTGTCCCTAAGAAGAACAAAAATGTTTTTACGCGGATTAAGCCACAGAACGACAGTGATTTGAGGGAAAGCGGGAAACGAAAAACCCCCCCCAACCCGTGAGTTTTTTAGCCCCCCTTTTTTAAAAAAGAGTAAAAATTTTTAAACATTCTGTAAATGTTTATTTCTGGGAATTTGAAGTAAAAAATATCCCTTCATATTTCGCCCAATCTTCAAATAGGTTACAGACCAATTTAACGATTTGCCAAAAAGGTTTTTCCCCCTTTTTAAATTACATTTTGAAAGGTTAGAATAAATGGGGGAATTAAAAAGGTTTTAAAATGGGGCCTTTGATTAAGGGGGTTTTTTAAAAGGGGTTTGGGGTTTCTTGATTAATTTTGGGTTTTTTTATTTTTAAAAAATTTTAAAAAATTTTTTTTTAAAAAGATTAATGGTTAGTTTAAATTTTAGTTGTTAAAATTTTTTTCCTAAAAAAGTGCCCTTGTGAACGAGGAATTCGAAGGGGGATGGGGTTTTTTCAAAAAATTTCTATAAACCAGAAGGGAGAAGGGTAATTTAATTTTTGGTTAAAGGGGGGGGTTTTGGGGTTTTGTGAAAAAAATTTTTTGAGAGGGATTTGGGGGAGTGGGGAGGGGATTTGGGGGTTTGGGGGTTTTGGGGGGGGGGAAGGGGGGGAAGGGGGGGGGAGGGGGGGGTGGGGGGGGTTTAAAGGGTTTTTAAAAGGTTTTATTTTGGAAAAAAGAAAAAAGGGAAGAATTTAAAATTTTGGGATGAGAGTGGAATTTGGGGTTTTGGAAATATTAGGAAGGGGGGTGTGTTTTTTTTTTGGGTTTTATGAAAAAATTTAAAAAGGGAAAAAATTTTTGAAAAAATTTTTTTTTTGGGGGTTATATTTGAATTTGAGAAATGAAGTTGGATTTTGGGAAAATTATAAAGGGGGGGAAGGGTTTAATTAATAATATTTAAAAGGGGGAAATTTGGGAAAAAAACAAAATTTCAAAATTGGTTTTTTTAAAATTTTTGGGAAAGTTAAGGGGGATTAAAATAAAAAACAAATTTAAATTTAAAAAATTTTTGGGGGGAAGGGGAAACGAGAAAAAAATTTTTTTGAACGGGGATTGTTATTGACGGGGGGTCCCCCTAGGTGAACTGGAAGAGTTAGGGAGGGAGCTATGTTAAATCCGGGACAGAGTAACCAGGGAACCTGTGGCCCCTGTAGTTAAGGGGGTTTTGTAAGGACTTCCTCGCTGACTAACCCCCTTAACACCAAAGGGTACTTATTACCCCCTATAGAGCTCTTTAGCTGACCTTGTGCTTAAATGTCTTTAGGTTCTATTCCCCGGGCCCAAACTGGGGGCAAACTTTCCCTTCTGTTTTTGTAGTAGTCTAGGAAGATGAGAGTATTATGACTGATGATCAGGGAGGAGAGGATGATGATCAGTGGACTTAGCTGGTATGTTGCCCCTTTGAAGATATTCAGTTGTTGCTGTGGCCCGGTTTCAGATAGTGTCATTGTTATCAACAGTCTGCGAGAGAATTGCGGATTACTAATACAGTGTGGGATCAAGATGTGTTTCAACCATAAATATAATATGTTTTAATTATCAGCTGGTACTCCAAAATAATGACGATTATAACGAAATAATTCATCCAGACAAGTTATTTTTTATCTATTCTATCTTTCTATTATCGCATAACACTCAAGGAAATTTGTAAAACAAACAGGAACAAGTGTTTCAAGAATGGGCCATTCATCACAATCAGTTGTACCATCTTACGTGTTCAGACCGCCCCTACTCATCGGAAGTATAGTAGGAAGTAGGAACGTTTGTTAGAGGATAAGAATTTAAGGAATGCGGAAACAAGTATAACCATGTATGCTGATGATACAAAAATATGGCGTAGAATTACGTCTCAGGATGACCATTTGCATTGGCTGCTCCAGCGGGATATTAACAGTCTTCAAAATTGGGCACATCATAATAAGATGGTGTTTCACCCCTCAAAAAGTCACGTTCTTTCTATTACCCGAGCGTATTCTATGAATCGTAGTATAGTGTTAATTGTGTGTACTTCATGAATGAAACGGCTATCGAATACACTGACATTGAAAAAGATCTTGGAATACATATCAATAGTAAGTTAGATTGGTCACATCACTGTGATATGATATACTCTAAAGTCTAAGGCTAGTCAGAGGTTAGGCCTTCTAAAAAGAACATGTTACTTCACCAAGAACACTAATAAACGTCGAGCCTTCTATCTATCTCAGGTTAGAAGTCATTTCGAACACTGCACTGCGCAATTATCTGGCGGCCTCATTCAGAAACCTCGGTGGAGAAACTTGAATCGATATAAAAAAGAGGTCTCAACTCTCAAGTGGATCCTTAATGATATTTACTTGAGCCTTAGGGACAAAAAAAGGTATTTCCTAGCGTGTAAGGAACTTAATATCCTTCCACTCTCTGTAAGGTTTGATTACAAGGATATATCATTTTTTCATAATATCTTTTATGACATGTCAGTTGTGACATTTCCACCTTACTTACGACGTTTCATGGGAAGTAGGTTAAGGTGATCACATTTAGACGATCTCAGTATGATTAGTGACATTTTACCTCAAGTTCCATAAAACCTTACCTCAAGTCAGACCAGATGTTCAGGCATATCTAAGTATTACTTTTACAGAGCGCACATTCTTTGGAATAAACTCCCTTATAAATTGAAGGAAATCTCAAGGCCATATGCGTTTAAAACTCATTTAATTCAGCACCTCTGGACAGTTCTAAACGACCTTATAACATCTTCTGACAATTGAACAATTTATGTCGTCCTCGTTTCACTCAGATTAAACAATATACATGTACATTACTTCTCGATGTAATTTCTATGACCAGTTTACTGGTCAACTGGTGTTTCGGTGTCCCTAATTTTGTTTACACTCGGTCACTTGTCGACTGTCGAGGCTTGTAAGGTCATTCGGCGAATTTTCTTTTTTTTAAAATGATGTATTTGTGTAAATTTGAAAGTTTATTGATTTTAAAAAAAGAATGTGCATCTTTAAGTCTTTATACAGTAAAATTTAGATCCGAACAACTTTCCCCTCATATAATTGGGTTTAGTCCAATTACTTAAATCTCTCTGTATCTGATTATCTGTTTATCTGCAGTTTAAATGTTGCGGAATCCGGAATTTCACTGACTGGCAGGAGAATGTTTACTTCAAGTGCTGCAATGAAGGAATTGAGAGTTGTGGTGTTCCTTACTCCTGTTGTAAACTGGTATGTAGCCTGCTGAGTACAGCAGCTAACACTGTTTTCTTTGCGATATCTAGATTGCCAGATAGTAATGAATACACTCAATCTATCTTGAATTGTGTCAATGAGTAGTTACATGTGCACTCTATCGTGTTCGTTACTGTGATGTTGTTACACTTTTATCTTTACGGTGAGAAGGAATCGTTAACGCTGTCAGATAACAAATTTCTCTACCAGGATTTGCAAGTTAATCTGTTTTGCGGTGTCAAGGTAATGGACTACAAGACCGAGGAATATTGCACCGATACCAACAAATACGTTCCAATGGTGAGTTCTGATATTCTTCCTAGTCAGCAATCAAATGGTTATATTTAGCATTTTATCCGCAAGATGAAAGATCAGTGATCAGTCGCACTCGATAGACTAATAGAGCTAGAAATAAAATGTTTTAGTATAGACTTTCGATATCATATCACTATGTGTAATGTGTTGGTTTAATTTTGAGTCTGACAAAGAAAACGGGCGAACTGATCTTCTGACAAATGGTTGTTAAAGACGCATCCGGCCGCGCTCGACAATCGACTTTGATGCAATAAAATGCTCTTTTGTTAACCTTCGAATGTTTATTCCGCGCGGCGCGGCCAGCGCGTTCGTTATCGCAAAAGTGAAAAGTGATCTGACATGATGTATATCATGATGGCGAAGTGCATGTGAGTACAGTCACCAGTGTAACAGGAAAGCGATGCAAAACTTTACTATGTTTACAATGACGCTTATACATATGATAGACGAGTAACACAAAAATCCTAAGTGAATCCGGTAATGAGGGCAAAATGAATCAAAAACTTGAAATAGTTTGGAGTGGCTTGTGAGTCAGAAATGATCGTTGAAGTGAATGGAGAATTTAGGGCGAAATTGGCGGAGGAAACGATGCATCGGTAGTTAGTGAGTTTTCGCAATTTACAGGGACGATTTGATTTTGTAGGAGTGTGTCAGAGATAATTTCTATTTACATCTGGGATCCCCCAAGATTTTGCTAACCCGTAAGTTCCATGCCCGAATTTTCACTCAAATTTTTCACCCGAATAAAATTTGCCCGAATTTTAAACCCACATTTTTCGCTTCGACTGAAATATTCGGGCTAAAAAATTCGTGAACTTGCGCACGAATTTTTTTTATTTCACTCAAATAATATAGTCGCTGCGGTTGTAATCAATACTATAATTGCATTTCGTTGTCCTAAATGTTTCTGGGATTACCTAACGCATATCATCATAACACTAATGATAACAACGCTATTACACTACACATCGATTACACGATTAGCCATTTTATTGAGGAGCTGCAGTGAGTCATTTTCGGGTTCCCATTTCAAGAACCAATGTTTTATTATCTGATATTTAGGACGACTGAGGAGAAGGAGGAGGAGCATTGAGGAGGACTGAGGAGACCTGAGGAGGATGACTGAGGAGGACTGAGGAAGAGGAGGAGAAGGACTGAGAAGGACTATGAAGAAGGGGGAGGAGGAGGAGGACTAAGGACGAGTAGGACTGAGGAGGAGGACTCAGGAGGAGGAGAAGGACTCAGGAGGAGGAGGACTCAGGAGGAGGAGGAGGACTCAGGAGGAGGAGGAGGATGAGGAGGACGAGGAGGACTGAGAAGGAGGACGAAGGACGAGGAGGACTGAGAAGGAGGACGAGGAGAACTTAGGACGATGAGGACTGAGGAGGAGGAGGAGGAGGACTGAGTAGAAGGAGGACTGATGAGGACTGAGGAGGACTGAGGACTGAGGAGGAGGAAGAGGAGGAGGAGGAGGAGGAAGCATCTAAATGTTATTTCCACAACATTCTTGTCTGTTTTTGTTCCGTTCTTGTCCGCCCTACTTTTTGTCCGTTTTGAAAATATAGGGTACCGAACGGACAAAAACGGACACAAAACATGATCCCCTCCCCAGTCCTTATATCTTTATATTAATTTAAGTTGGTCAATCACGTTAATTGCGAAGGAATTATTCCTGACTATGAAAGTTCAAACAATTTAATTTAGATATGTCAACCCTATTTTCTTAAATTTACACAAAAGAGTTTATAGAAAATATATGAAGGACACTAATTTGCTTCTGCACATTGGTTGTTACACTAGTTTACGTGATGTTTACGTAATTTTCATCCTAATTTAAACTTGGGTGGTCGCAGTCTCGATCTCACCCGCGACGCAACCGATACGCGTATCGATTTCCGCACGCAAATTATTTGGGCATGGAACATGTCACCCGAATAAATTTTTTTCACAAATAAAATTTGCCCGAATTATTTTACCGTATTATTTGGCCATGGAACTAAGGGGTAAGAACATAAATTCTCCGAGAAGAGATATGCGATTATGCAATATCTGCGGGTGATACATCACGTACGACAAGTTACATCAATACTGTACGTGCTTTTATATGGTATAATGTTTGCATCATGGCCGATTGATCTGCAAACATTTGATGCTAGAGATGACATCTGCCAATGTGCCCATATGATGGCCCTGCGTCAGGTGTTTACAGTTATACGTAATGATGGCGGTTAGTTCACTAGCTCAAACATTTCCTTTCAGAACCACCTCAAGGCGGAAGTGAGCGAAAACGAGCAGATATACGAGACAGGCTGTTTAGTGACGATGGAGCAATGGTTCAACACCAACTTGTACTACATTGGAGGAGCGGCGCTGGGTGTGGCTGTTGTTCAGGTGAGTGTCTCAATATTAATCGTGGAAAAAAAGTGAAATTTCCTTTTAAAGTTCTTTTTGTTTCGTAGCATTCCATGATTCTGGTTAAGAAACTTTAAGATATGTTCCTCTTTATAGTGTTATAAAAGAATAATGGTCATAATTGACAGGTTGGTTTGATGTGCACTGCTTCTATATTATTAGGCAGTGTCAGAGACCTCAAACACTCCTACATAACTGACAGCTAATTAGCTTGATCCGGGGACCGACTGACATAACTGACAGACATGATAGGACAGACTGACATACTGGAGTGCGAGACTGACATTGTGACTAAAAAAAGACTGACTGACTCAACTTATTAAAGTCATATAATTATTGTCATTAATTGAAACATTTGCAGATTGGAGGGGTTTGGCTGGCTCAGAGTTTGACACACAAGATAAAATCAGTTACAGCTGGCTATTATCAGCATCATAAATGAGGGAGGAATCGACTCAGCCGAGACAAATTGTGATAATCTGTTGTGACCTGGACCACCGCCCTTTCTGTCAGCGTGGTGAAAATGAAGGCCTGAACCAAAACACTGAATTCAAGAGAACAAAATATCGTTGGCTTAGATAAGAATCATAAAATAAGTTTATTTTTATTTGATCGCATACATTGAAGATATTTTTCAAGTCTTCCTTTATTTTCGATTTTTATCTTCCCAGAATTCATTTAAACATTAAAGTATCGTGTGTAACTTTAATCTTTACTTTTAGTTCATAGTTTTCGTGTTTTAGTAATTACAAATTATCGAAGAAAAAGCATTTATTTCACTCCTTATCAGAAGAGAAAAAGATCCTTTAATCAAGAGTTTTAACAGTTACTTTTTCTGATAGCCTAAATGGGAGGTTACATTTTTTTGTTGGAAGATAATTGCACAGTCATGTTTCTCCTCCCAGTATCTGTTAAGCTGAGTTTGATTAATAGCCTCTTTCCCAATGATATTCAAAGGTCTGATCTTTGTTATAAATTAATTCGCTTCTAAATGCATTCACGGACATTTCATGACATTTAGAGACTGTAGATAAACCTTGTTTCAGATTTCTGTTGATTTGTATAGATCTTACACTATACCATATTACCATTATATATTTGATTTGTTACTGTAGAAGTAATGATTTTAAATTGGTTAATAAAAACATGAGCTTGGCGTATATCTCGAACCAGTGGTGACGTCTATAAATACGGATTATGAAATGGGTTCAGTCAGGGCTGACGCAATTTGGTTGTAATTGACCTGTCTTTTGGAGGGCCCCTAACGGTTTTGTAGAAACATCTAACTTAACTTCTGGACAGACTTAGTATAATAGGGGATCTAAGTACTTTCAAATAAAGGTCACTTTCAAAAACTTAATTTAACAACGTGGATATGATGCGGCGTCACATCTTCACATAATATGCGCGGCTCAATCTACGCACGTGGTACAAGCTGAGGAAACCAATATCATCTATCAAAATCGATCCGCGCCCGACGAATCATACACTACCTACCGTAGCAATCAGAAGGACTTTCTACAAAACTGTACCAAATAAGATGGTCGAAAATCAAGTGTTTTAAAAAATAACATGGAAATACAAATTTCTTGAAACTTTTGTGGTTATATTTTCTTGTGTTTGAAGTAATATCTCAAAATTGGCACATAGAAATTCGCCCAAACTCGTACAGATTGTTCCTATTATTGTTATTTTACTATTTGGAAATTTTAAAGAAAATTTATCAACCCGATCTCGAGATAAATGCCTTGGTACCAAATATTGTACCTTGGTACAGTTTGGTACAGAAAGTCCAACTCATAGCAATAAAGCATATTGTAGGGACTGACAATGGGAGAATGGTGAATGGAGTGGGGACAGACTTTCACTGTTTATCCCTCATAAGTACCGCTGTCAGTACATCATGAGCATATCATGCAGTCTCAATCCCACCTCACTGTCAATTCTGGTAATTCGGCGACTAATGTCTAATTGGGAACAATTGATCGGATCCCAAGTCTCGAATTCCCAAAATTGACAACTTAACTGTTCCACGTGTTTCGGTGGACCTTAGTGGTCTTTGTCGTGGACCGAGTAGAGTGCTCATTGAAGCAAATGATCTAAAGATTACGGAGAATCTATGGCAGAATAAGTAAAACACGTGATTTGAACAATCCAAATATTAGAGAATAAAGCAGTTTGTGACTTCGAAACGGGGATAATGCCTACTTCTCAATTAAAGTGTAAAATTTCGACTTAAGAGTTTTATAAAATATTGGAGCTCCAAATTTACGGCATCGTTGAAAAGAACTGATACTTTTTGACAACATTATATGGTCACTATTTTCAGTTGATAGGCCCAATCTTCTTTATGATGAAAGTAGCAGTAGGTTATTACATAATTTTCTAAAGTAACTGCAGCATTCAACTGCAGTATTCTAAGTAGACATTATCCATTTTGTACTTTTACAACTTTTGATATATACAAGTAGAATTGAACAAATTAACACAGTTTTCAAAACTTACCTTTCAGGAATCGTAAACTCTTAACATCATAACAGTTATCACCGTGTAAACTTTGCTCCGAAACTTGGATTGATTCAAAACTGTATTTCGTACGATACTTATTAAATATAATAGAAACTTGAAAACTTTGCCAGTTATATATAGTAAATTGTTTAAAAAATTCTGTATGACAAATGCTACCACAAATTACAATACAAGTTGAAAAACTCTAGGTGTTGTGCCTACGATTAGGAATGTGCGGAATGGGAGAAAAGGTGGAATAATTTAATGGTGGGTCGTTACTATAAAAGTAAGGCACATTATATCATAAATTAAAAATCAAAACTCTAGATATATCAAAACCTTTGGTAGCATTAAAAACATCGATGTATTCAGAATAGGGCAAGATAGCAGAAAATTTGAGGTACAAATTTCCAATTCTAGTTTATTCTCATGAAAATGTAGATTCATATCCAAATAGGTCTATTCAAAAAGTGAATCGGTATTCCCCGGCCAAGAAATCTACAGTTGATCACATGATTCGACCCATGCAGACAAATATTTTTGTAAAATGTTGCCAATTTCGTTTAAATTGTGTTATTAGTTTTTGTTATTTTGATATCCTAGAAAAGAAGCTGTCAGTCAACAATTGGCAACATTTCAATTTTGTATCTTTACGGCTTAAATAACAAATAACAAACCATTAAGCTATTCAGAAATTCTGCTCTTGACTCATCAAATAATAATACATTTCTAGTTAACATTAATTTTGGTTGATGTAGGTATTATGTATCACGTTTAGAAAATACTTCGTGTCCACCTTTAATAGTCTACGATACAATAACTATGTCCTTCCAGGAATTCAACATTTTGAAACAGATAACATCTTTTTTATAGCACATTGGAAACTCAAGTTTGTGTCCCATTTAAAAAAAACCCTTTCCATAATCTCAATAAGTTACTAGGCTAATTGTTTGTCTATCACCAAGTTCATAAGTTCGCAGTTATTTGGGCCAAATGAGTAGCGATCATCTTAACACTGCCACCAAAATACGAACACAGTTTTCACACACGGGTTGCACCTAACACTTAACACTCTTCATAACTTATAAGAACTTTAAAAATTAAAAAAACTTAAAAACATCCCGACGGGAAATTATTAGGTTAACCGCTATCTAGGGGATTATATTGTGTAGTCTGACTGTGGGTAAACGGTGCACTAACAGCTAAAACTCGGTCAAGAACAGAGAATATCCTCAAATCATACAACAAAAACAGGGAAAACAGTATATAAGTCCGGTTTCTCTTTTAGGTACGTGATCTACGTAGATGGTGGGACAACATTGGTCAAATTCCTTTCACACGGCTTGAAGTTGAATCGTCTCTCTTTCACAACTCAATCAATTATTATTTCATATTATTCAGAAAGATAGAGAGTCACACACAGTATAAATCGATCTATAAATATCCTTCTGTAACAAAGGGGAAAGCTTAAAAAACTTTTTAAATTTATCAAATATACCCCGATCTGACACCTCGTTTCTTGTCATTTTGAAACGTGTTTTCTGTGACAATAGTCCGCAAGAGAGCAGTTAGCACCCTTCCATCTCCAGGAGATCTTTGGGGGTGTGCATTGGTCCGGGAGACTTCTCTCTTGACTGGAGGGGTTCGACATCCACATGTGGCAGGTCCGTCCGGTTAGCTGCTATCAGAGTTCGTACCTTACTGTGTATCACCGCTAACTCGTCCTGAAACAAAGATTTTGTTTTTAAACTCCAACGCGAAAAAGCGAGCACACACGCGGACCCGGATTAGTTAGACAATATCTATAAATTATTCATGACACATATTATCTAAGCTCCCATCGTTATGGATTATCAGCATATCACCAACGTCTGAGTGTCTGCTTCCAGAGCAAACTGCACTGGCCTCGCGACCAGAAGTGTACGTATCAACCAGCGCTTTCACCCGACTGCTTACTTCACTCATCCGGGAAGCGTGTGTAATCTTTTCCGAGACACGCGGATTTTCTCAAATTAGCCCCTTTGAGGATACATATCTCGGAGTCTTCTCTTATGGCATGCTCTATGAAAGTATGGTGAAAGCACGACCGCACCCCAGATTGTGAAGCCGTACACTCCGCACACGAATAATAAGATCAGAAAATATTTTAAGTAGGGATCACGCGAGAGTGTTAAAAATGACTCGAACCAGCAAAGAGTCTGGTTCCTAGAGACGATATGGTGGTCGGAGGATGATGCAGGTGGTGTTACTGGTGGGATGGTTAGGGTACCAGAGGGAGCATGTGGTGGTAAGGTGCCAAAATGGCAACTCCTTGTCAACAAGTCCGGGCCTGAACAAAGTGGACACTCCACATTCTCTCACTACACCCGGAATATGGTGTGTTGTGGTGGAGTTACGTAAACCCCTAAAGTGACGTGTAAACTGTAAAGTTAACCCCCGGTGTTTGGTATTAGCTGATTGGCTCCCAATCCCCCCACACACACACACACCTCACCGGCCCCTTGTTTAACAGTCATGTTTCAAGACACCCCAGGGAGGAGGGCCTCCACTGTTTCCTGCACCACAATACACTTTCAAATATCATCACCATTATAATGAAACTTGGTTTCTTATAATACTTTCGCTTAATACTTAGCCTCAGGCTTCTTTGGAAAGGAAAGCAAAAGTACTGTCTGTCAAGAAACCGGGAATGTTCTAGATAAAAAGGTACGGTCTTTCTGGGGAATGACGGAGGGCCTCACCTCAAGACCCAATTTATTGATTAGAATTACTCTGCTCTGGATCTACAAACTCGTATGGGGATCTAGGTTCCCAGAATAGCTCCAAACTTCAAATAATAAGACAGTGGGCCATTTGTAGACTACTCAGACTTAGATTTGCAATATATTTTCATTATTAGTCCAAACTCTCTTGCACACGGTTTATTTATTTCAGGCACACAAGAAGCTGGCTCCCAGCTGTGGAGCCGTATCCTGCTAATTAGCAACTCAATTTATACTCTGGATTGGGTTTCTCTGCTGTAATTTCTCTGAAAACTTTACCAACGTGTCACTGTGAAACTGGAGACCATGACACCTTGACAGCTTCACACCCAGCACCTTGAACCCACATTGGCTCTAATTGCAGGAGTAATTTTCAGATAATTGGGTGCAATTGGATGATTTCCTGGCTTAATTATCGTAAGGAGGGGCTAGTTGAGGAGGTTAGACGACAAAACGCACCTCGAGGGGATCTCCGTGGTACAAAGGACACAATATCTGATGATTGGCATGTGAAAAGGAGCCCACTATCAACCCACTATCATCACTCTCCTCCCCACATACACTCTATCACTTAATACCGGGGCCCAGCCCTCTATCTCCCTTTCGTGACACTATGTTCTATCCTACATAGTAACTGCATGGTGAAACTCCAAACGTAGCTTTCATCACCCACTATCCTTTACTTTCCCGCAACTTTCACGCTTTACGGGGTGACCCATATAGATAGTGTATTGTTAATGTTAGCAGTGCTATACTGCTGCTATACTGCAGTGCTATACCATGTATACTGCTGCTATCGACTCATTAATTAGGTTGGGGACGAGTATCAACTATCAAGTTCAAGTTTCAACAATGTATCAATGTAGATCATATCTAGCGGCTTTACAAGCAATAATGACCCAACCCAATAGCAATGCCGGAACCAACTCCGTCATTGCTATTTTCTAGGTTTCTTCCCTTCTCACACTATAACTCTTAATCACAAGATTTTAATGTAATTCTACAGCAATTTCGAGCTTCTAGCAGCCAGCTTTGCTGTGAATTAACAAGACATTGTTAATTAAAACTAACAAGGATTAAGCTAATGATTGACTAGTTAGAATGAGGTTAGAATATGAGAATATGACACTGAATCTGTGTAAAGATATATTTGGATAAGGTCTAAGAATAAGGAATGAGAGATCTACATTGTAACACACATAATAATAATGTGCTGAATAAACTGACGCTGAGTCTCATTATATACAAAATGTGAAAGTATTATCTCGACATAGAAGCATGGAATTCATTTTGCGCCTAGGTAGTTCCCACAAGGATTCTCCAAACTATTTACTCTATGGAAATACAAATAGTTTGCATTGTATTAATAAGTTATGACAAGAATCTGAAGCATTTATAGCCATTTATTTGCCGTGATTCGTATGAGGTATATGCTCTCACAAATTGTTGACGTAGTCCTCTAATGCCGACATTTCAAATCAATAACAAAAAAGAAAGATACCGAGTTCCACATAAACGTGAAAAACTCAGATTGCAGAAGCGTCCGTCTGAATATACTGAAGAAAGTTTATCAACAGAATAAAGTAAGGTAAAACACGCTAAATAAAATAAATAAATAAATAATAAAATAAAGGATTTCTAAACTAACCTTGTTGATATCAACGAAGTGGCTCATCAGTTCAGGGAGAGTCCGTCGCAGTTCCATGTACTTGGAACCCAGGGCGAATATGGCATCGTAGAGACATCCAGTAGCCATCATCGTACTGGAGTGCGGCAGAAACATATACTCTGAAATGGTTAAACTTTTATAAACAGTTCCAGTTTGTAGAGGTATTTTGAGCAGAATGTTGCTGATCAAAATATTTAAAGGTCACGTTATGGTCAGATTTTCGCCATTTAATCGTCACGTACGGCGACAAACTGAGTTCCTGTAGGTCGCGTTTGCAGAAACTTTTACTAGCACTACAGATTTTCCGCCAAATTGAGTTGAAGCCTTTTTCTATTGATATTAGGGAATAGCCGAATTAAGTATAGACATATCAGAATTCCCATAATAATACTCCGATTTCGGAATCATTCCTGTCAGGAAATCTTTGTATTTTGAAATGCATCAGATTCGTGGAAATATTGGGTTGAAGCAATGACACTTGTTTGGTGGTAATACAATATACATTACATAGGGGGAAATAGTTGACACATTTTCATACATGTAAAGTTTATTCGGAGTGTCTTGCTCAAGACACACGTGTCAAAAAATTCGGGTGTAACAGACTTTGATCGTTCTCACAAGGATTCTTCTGCAAACATATTGATACAATCAAGAAGTTGTTCGGAAGGTTTCGAGATTCATGTGATTATTGTCTTTCTTCGTAATAAGATTCAGGTGATTACTGTCCTTCTTTGTAATAAGATTCATGGGGAAGGTTAATGACAATGTGTTATTAGTGAAAATATTTTCACCCGTCTCTACAGAAAATTATAAATAGATGCTAGCATCACTCGTAGCTATGTAAGAATAAAAATTTGCTTTTATCGATCAGATCGTATTTTGCCTGATTTTACCGATCGAAATTGTTTTAAACAGCAAATTACTGAAAAATTGTAGAAGTAATAACTCAGTTGGGTTAAAAATATGTCATACTAAAATTTGTAGCAGAATTTCAGTCCGACACAGGAAAAACTCGCCTTCTTATTGCGCTCATATTACAGTCTTGTGCCTTCAGCATACCCAAATAATATACTTATCTTGCGCTAAAAGGTCCGCTTTCAGCTCGAAAAGAAACGGGGACTCAATTTAATTAAAGTCGATATTGTGCTAAATATTGTGTTTATTTAGCACTGATCAGCTAGTGCAAAATTTGTTTCAATAGCACTTAGAGCATGATTGAGCACATTTGATGCATGAAGATTGGAGAGCGCAAAAAGTTTCAGCCTGGAGGTCCCGCAGATGCACATTTATTGTTGTTTTGTTCCGAGATAATCCAACTAGGCCAAATTAACAATGAAAGTTTCAAAATTTGAGAAGAGTCCTGGCGCATGCACGTTATTCAATCAATCGTAATTCATTTATTGATTCTCGATTGATAGTTGATACCATGGTTCATTATTTATTTGATAGACTAATCTAATGGCCATTAGTCTATTACATAATAAGTGACAAGGAATCAGTTAAGTTAAGGAATTAGTATCCATGATGATAGGAGGGCTGGTTTTCGTAACCAAATTACCGTATTATATCAGTATCATGAGGGACGAGGGTTGATTAGCAAATTTGAGAAATCAGAAGAGCATGATAAGTACAAACTTGTCAGTCGTGGAACTTTGGGACCAAATCCAACTCAAATCCGACAAATCGTATGGAAAAATGCCAATCAAACCACATCCGTGACTTGTCCTACTTCTTATAATTTAACGGTTTTTTATTTTATTCTATCTTTATTTGAAATAAAACTGTTATTTCGTTCGTGACAGGATCATTATGAGAACTTGCATATTATGCGGACAAAGCCCTGAACAATATGGACGGAGAGACCAGTAATTACAATAAATATTGAGTTCCAGGGTCGGGTGGGGCATCCGGCTTTCTGGACACGCAAAGTTATTTTCATGGTGACAATGCATCCTGGAATACACACATGCTACGTCTGAATGTATGTACAGTACCGAGAGCGGTGGTTCTTGTAAAGTCTCAAGATCTGCGAGATCATTAACAACATTGAAACGAGCTGAGGTAGTTATTGGGTTATCCCTCTCATTAAACTGGGACACGTTAGTTTCACGTGGCTATTAATTGCCCTGTAGCAGCAATTCAGAACGCTAACTGGATTAACTTCAACTCAAATGAGTAAGGTAGATGAAACCTACAACATTTAGATTCTTTACTGCGGCATCATCAGAGTCACTTCATCTCGTACAAATACCTTAAATTAGGGTACCATACAGATGGGACCCTGTGAATTCCAATCGAGGCCTAGGCCAGACAGTGATAAATCCATGATCGTTTTTCTTTGTTAATACAATTGATAACCTAGCTTTGTTTACAATGAAGAGTGACAAAACTTCCATTTTGTTGACAAGAATAGACTAGTACTACCCGGTACAGGGCCGATACCTTCCTCTCAATTGAGAGGAAGAATGGAGAACCGAGCCATAAAGTGATGCAGCCTTTCTACTTAGTTCCTACACAAAGGGGGGCATTCAAATTAAACCCCCCAACTCCCCGATTAAAGATAGGATCACTTGCATCCAAGAACAACGATCTGAACAATGTCAGCCCTCAAAACATCCACGTGCATGGTCCTCTGCAAAGTTATTTTCACGGCCTACAATTTGGTGGAATAGCTATTGTTAGATTCTGGGTCAGTAATTATAGATAACAGGAATTATGATCCGCGGTGGACCGCACCTCATTACCAAGACAATCCTTCTTAGTCTGACGACTGTAGTGGTTCAATGACATATTCAACTTATCCACATATCATACTGCAGTAGGTTTAACCAATTCCACCTCGACAAATCTATTAAACAGAGTGTATGTATTGTTATGGAAATCCGTGACCACCGAAAGCTCATGTGGCACCGGAAATATTAATCAAGTGCACGGTCTAAAAGAAAGACTAAAGACAAGTTGTGAATCTTTTGTCAGTGCTACTGGTACGGCTCGCAGAGGACCTTAAAAATAATTGTAGGGCAGCAGGAGCCACAACGTGGCTCTGCAGAAGCAGTTACGTTTTGAAAACTTGCAATTTGCAGAATGACAACATAGAAAGTTTTGTATTTAAACAAATTATCTCCAGAAGAATGTCCTCCATCCTTTGTTGTTTCGTTAAAAGCTCAATTTTGAAGGCTCGATTATTAAGAAGGCAGTAGCTAATAAACTGACCATTTTTTAATTATCCTTATCCGAGCAGTTATATCATTGTATGTGTAATATTAGAAGAAAAGGATATAACATGGTATAAGCTAGCTGTTGCTAATTTAAACCATGATCTGTAAAATGGAACTAGCAGAAAAGGCCTCCATGAGGAATTAAGATTGGTTTGACGGAAATAGAGCTCTTCATGAGGATTTACATTAGTGATAGTGGCTCTGGCAATGGCCAGACATTTCATCTGATGTGACAAGTCATCTTAATAGTTATCAGTGGCTACTGCCAATCTAAGACAGCTGACTCTCTGTCATAATGAGGCAATCTGATAAGCTATTAGCAATCTGATAAGCTATTAACAACTCAATCAACCCCTAATACAGTTTTAATGTAGCTTCAGCTTGAACCGTTGCCAGACTGATTTGGTGGCTGTAACGGCCTGCATGCGCTGTGTCTCCCAATAAAGAGTAATAAGTGGGCAATTCATAGTGACGGCGATGGTAACCGTTAAAATGTTCACATGTGACCCACTTGAACGGTGGGTCAGAACAATTTACCAGATAACGGACAATTTTCGGAGCTCTCTCAAGCGGCGGGGAGCTATTTAGTTAGTGTGTGACAGAGAGAGGTTGCTTTCCTTGTTAAAATCATGTCTAACCGACCATCAAATGAGAGGTTGAAATTGCTGGACTAAGTCCCTGATCATTGGCCAATTCATCACATAGAATCTGTACCGTCACTGCAGGGCGAGTAAATCTCGTCTGTAGTGCGGTCAATGATCCTTGGTTTAAGCGAGATTTGCCTACTTTAAACGCAGATTACTGTCCGACATGGTCCGGGCTAAGATGACACAGACACCTAATCCATCGAAACTCAGCCACTTCATGACTCGCAGTTTGAATATTTTACATAATCAGATCCCTCTCTAGTGCGGCGGCAGAACATAAGTTAAATATTTAGATACTAAGTCTGATTTAACTGAATAGTTTAAACTGAGTTGTTAATCTCAATCGCAGAATTATAAAGAAGTAGTACCTGTACAGCACATGTTTATGAGGGTTCTGGCGTGGTAAGTTACTCGGCTCTTAACTTGATCTGGTATCGGGAGTCTGTGGAGGAAGTGGTCTAACAGGTCGTGAGGTAGCACCGCGCTCGTGTCCCAATTCAACATGTTCAGTATTCGCAGCTCCCAACTCTGAAGGTGATTCTGATTTAGTTTTGTGAAATAGTGATAACAGTAAGGGGAAGGCATGTGGATTTATTTTGAGTATCTGTAAGTTGGTTGACAGAAGACTGTTGGGAGGAATGTTGAACTGATATACCAATCTGGATCCATTTACAAGTCACACGCTAACCGATACAAAAGTGATCGTATCTAGATACAAATTGTTTGATCCAGACAGTTTTGTGGTAACTGGCAATAGCATGCACTATTTCCCCCCAGTTACTGCCGAATTATGACACTGCGACATCTACCCAACTGGGGTTTCGTTATTTGGAAGCCTGCTATTGGCTGGCTGCACCAGTTCCGTGCAGTGATTGGATAATGGATATCGTCACCCTGACAAACTGCACTTGCGGCCGGGGGCTTCTCATGGGCAATTCCAACGCAGCTTAGGAGTAAATGGATTATGATATAAAAGTTGAAACCCAACTCTTTAATGGCATTACATGAGGGGAGTGGAGTTGTGTCAATGTACCCGATCAGAAAGTCTGAAGGAAACACCAATGCACTCACGTACCTACTTGAACATTACCACATCTTATCTGTATTATACTAGCCTGTATTCTGGGTTGAAGAGCGGATAAAGCTAGCAATCTTGACGCCGTCAATTCTTGTTCAGTTTCACTACCGCTAAGCCGAGGGTACATACTACACACACGTAAACAATTGCTAACATTGATGCCAGTTTGGTCAATGACTCGAATGCTTCGATGTAATGCAAGCGGTTCAAGGAATTCGGAAAGATTGAATGTTTATATTCAACCCATTGACGTTCTTAATATTATAGAATGTTCCCATTGTTCAAGAATATTCACATAGAGCCTCGGTATTATACTATATGTTTTAGAAAACTCCAAAAAATGTATGCTCGTTACGTTGAAGAGCAAAAAACTTCCTCTCAAGTCTAGCAACGTTAAATAGATGATGGACTAAAATTAAAGGACCCTAGCTAGACGGCACGGATATGTTATATTATTGATAACGTAATGAAGTTTATTTTTTCTTACATTTCGGTTGCGAATACGATAAGGCACGCAAACAATTTCCAAGAATACCTTAGACAATAAATTCAAGAATGTGGGAGACTTTGATTACAGTAAGGTTCGTAATAAATTCAATACGTTGAGTACATTCATTCATCTATAAAGACACATTACATTGATTCTACCTCGATCTCCAGAAAATCTAGAAAACTCCTAAAGTAAACCTGCCGAATTTCAAGGTCATGGTTTTGGGGTTGAACAGTAGTCGGCTAATTGTTGCGCGGAGCTAGAGTTGGGTTTCAATTAAACCACTTGTCGGGGGTCCCATGAGATGATGAAATGGACCACTCCACCAGGAGCTTAGTCGCCCTCTCTGCACGTGCAATCTCTATCACCCTCACTTCTCGTTACATCAACATATTTTCAGGTCGACCCCAAACAAACGGCCATATTGAGCCTATTTGAAATTGGAAGATGATGACATTGAGAATGATGTTGAGGGCACGTGCAAACTCCTTCATTAGCGGCCCTACCTAAAAACTTAATTATCACTTTGAATTCGACCCAGTTGAGAGGGTCTAAAGACCGTTAATCGACAGTAATCTAATGTTAAAACGAGAACGAGCATTAGACATGTAACTATGCCCAGCATTCATTCTCGGCCGACCCATGTGGACAGGTATAGAGCACGACAAAACACAAAACTCCCCTGATTTTGTGTCACATGAATCTGTCCTCAGGGTTCCTCGACGGAGGCAGCTACCTGAATATATCGGGAATAAGTAGTTCCATTAAACGCCTTATGGGAGCCCAGTCTGCCGACCAATGATATCACACCTCCGTGCTCAGGTGACCAATCAGCAGGCTCAGATTTGTCACGTAGCTACAATTTCTCTGTTGGATGGGATGTCCTGCTGAATTATTCAAGAAGGAACTCGGTACTAAATACCTGGATATGCCTGTCGTCATGGTAACTATACCCTTGTCAAGACATAAACTGGTTGGGGACAACCCTTTCTCCGATAATATATTCCTCACAATTATTAAACTACCGGTTGGTTCCCAAAATAGGGATTTACAACGTTGGTCTAATTTGTAGCAGAGGTAACCAGAAGGCAGACTAAACCTAACACAGGGACCTCGGCACAGTGTGAAGTACCCTGACCATCGTACCGTTACCAACTAGAATTGTAGATGAAGCAGTGTACCAGAACCTTGATCCGCACCGCTCACACGCCAGCTAGATTGGAGAGGAATAGTGCGGTTCTTCAGAACACTAAAGTAGGACAAGGTTCGGTGCTCACCTTCCTAGCACAGACTACTTTTACAATGCTCAACTTTCCCATGACAATAATAACATTTCCTCACAGAAAAGTGAAATTGGTAAAGCAACACAGATTGAAGCCTTAATACGCTTCAAACAAAGGGACTACCCACACTCAAATTGTTTGAAGCGATCATCTGATGAGTGGTGATGTAAAAGGACATGTAATCTACAGTCGTTTAGAATGTTTACAAATTTAACGACTCAAGTTCAGACTCAAGGGCAGACTTGAGCTCTCTGACTTTAAATCGCGAACTTTGAAGACATCTGTAGATCTGAAGATCTGAACTTAGAGGATCGTGGACCTGGGCAAGATCAACCATGTCGACACGCATTGATCATATTTCCTAGACTATTTTAATCAAAATTGATATTTCATTAGGGTGATTATAACCATCTATCATGACCGTTTGGGACCGTGTAAGCTTGTTTTTACCAATAAAAGCAGAGCTTTTCGCATGTACACTGGCAGTCAAATAAACGCTTAAAACAAACACGTCTTTCATTACCTTAATAACAATCGATTGACTGTCAGGACAGATATATACTATCTCATCAACTGTCATCATCAAAATAAATACCAGGTCTCCCCTGAAAGTTCTACCAAACTGTTGATGGAGCTAAGAAGGGTCGGAGTCAGCTTGGTGACGGCTGGAAAGCACAGGTCCTTAACTGAGCCCCTGGAGCATTACACCCAGCCACCATGCTGCTCTTCTAATGAGACCAGACTGTCCCTCCGCAAAGTTATTATGACGTGTAGAGGTGGGGAGGTAGTGTTGGTACCAACTTGCTTGCTTGTTCACCTTTTAAATTGATCACCGTCTTGGAGCAGGCTTCCTAACATGGGGTCTGGCGACCTGCATGGTTGATTTTACCATGGATGGTTGATATTTTCGGTTTATGTCCTCTGAGAAAGTGGATCAACCTATATACCACTGCAGGCACATTAATAGAGACCCAGTGAAGATGGAGTAAGTAGGAGTTCCATTAATACAGATTGTTGTAGGAAATGTGGTGGTTGTTAAATTAATTCAAGTTACCAGCACAATGAACCCACTTCACGTTATCCTAAGGGTCATTGAGCGTGCTCGGAGAATAAGCAACAGCCCCTAAGGGTCCCTGAATCACGCCAAGAGCAATTACCATCCATGTCACGTGATCAGTGGTTTTAAAACCTCATTGGTTGGCTTCAGGAGTTAAAGATGAGTGGTTGGTGGTCGCGATGTAGGAGCTGACTTTTTAGTTATAGGAGAACTGAGGTGACTTAAGTACACTGCTGAGCCTTCACTGTCAAGACTGATGTAATAACTAGTTGTAGATGTGTATAAAATGAGGTTTAGGTATGGTAAGATGGTGTCACCAACCTTAGCAGTCCACCCTCGCACAAAGGATTGAGGATCACGAATATTGACTATTGAGGTCCCCCTTCAGGAGCAGCATATCATTTAGTTACATAGTTAATAAATGTAATTAAGTATTTGAGATAAGGTCTTCTGGAGTAATGAGAAAAAGTGAAGGTTATAAAACCTACACCGTGTGTTTTTTATGATACAAAATGTTGTGGCGTCAGAATAGTCAATACTAGTGAGACCTTCTCAGTGTGATAACAAACTATGTCAAATTAGTTCCCAAGTTTCATCACATATTCAGAAACCCACTCCGATCCTTGTCCACATAAATGTACAACAGATAAGACAGAATGTATCTCCGTTATCAGCTATTGATCACATTTTAGCAACTTCATGCTGCTAACAGCCCCACAGCCGGAAATCATTGGTCCTCCCCATCCACGTGACCAATCAACTTGATCTCATTGGGCTGTCCCATCGGATAAATTACCTGCAATGATGACAGGCTTGGGCATAATGCGCTGTGAAAACAGCGATACAACTTGTCACTGTATTGTATGGCCCACTTCCCGAGCCCGGATTGGTGGTCAGGATGGCCTGATCTCCGAGGATTGGCTGACCTGGAGCTCAACAGGTCGCCGAGCTACATTTAACACTTTGGTTTTAATGAGGATTGTCCGGGCCCTGAGGTTGTGTTGAGCACGTGTAGATGGGCTGCTAGCCAACTCACTCAGCACTTCAGCTCGCCGAGGATATTTTCACACTTGGCACCGGATCAATCCTCTCACTGAACACCAAATAATCACCTACATGGAACTTACCAGGAACCCTGGGGTAATTACTAAATATAGCCCTCGTAAACCGTAGTCTAACGTGCACGTACGCTCTGTGAATGGTAGCCTAAATAGAGGAGGTAACGTCATCCTTAGATCCTGAGACGGAAAAGTTTAGACCCCGGAGAGGATTACAGATTTCACAAGTTGTTATTTTGGAGGGTTAGGTCACATTGCCACTTCTATTGTAGGACTCCTGGCAGGGAAGGGAAACAACGTACCGGACCTACCAAACCTGTGATCGAGATTACGTCACATTGTTCACTGACTACTGATCTCTGTGAAGGGCATTGGATACTGATCTAATCTTCCTTCGTAACTATGACTTTTTTATGGAGCATAATTATAAACGTTGGGGAACTTTACAGTTATCATTAGATGGAAGACACTGTAAATGTAATGCATATTGCAGGATGCTACTAAATGTAAACATCTTGATTCTTGAAATATTCTTTCAGGAGAAATTATAATAAGATCATCA